TTGACTTCTTGGATAGCAAGAGTGGACATTCCCGTTGAGTCAGCTCGCATGTGACACGGGTTTTGGGCAGGGATGCCCTCAAAAAACAACACCAGAAAGTCTCCAAACTGCGGCCCGCGTGCCATGTAAAGAGCATCCGTCCATCCCACCACAGTTCCGCCGGTCTCCGAGCAGTTCTCTGCGTTGCAGCCCTCCACCATGGTGGCCCCAAAGGAGCAAGTGCAGCTCTCCTAACATGCGCGTGTGTCCTATGATTTTTTGTAGGGAACCTCCCAAAATGATAGGGTTCCTTTTGCTTCTCTTCTGCAGCCACCAAAAAAAGTGTACGCCGAAAAAAGGAGAGAGAAAACACGTGGCGTTTGTTCTGCCCGCGTTCTCCGTGCCTCTCCCCGAAACAAAAGCTGGCAGGAGGGCGTATGGGCATGCGGCAAGCATCGTACAGCGCGAAGAAGATCACCCAGACGGCCACGAAGAAGCAGTAGATCAGCATTGCAGTGGCCAAAGGGGGCAAGGAAGGCCGCCTGCGGCTCCCAAGCCCAGAGATAGACACTGGATCAGTTTGGTGACATCTTCAAGAAATTACCCTCTCAACGGTGCCGTAAAAACCGACACAATCCCAAAGAAAACACTTGAAGTCAAGTGACATGGTGGCTCAAAAACCGCAACAGTCCCAAAGAGCGTCCCTTGAAATGTTCAGAATGGTACTGAAGAGCACACCGGGGTTTCAAGGGGTTAATCAATCCTAGTCCGTGAGAATCTCCGCCGGGCCGCGGGCTCGCGTGATGGGCGTTGTGCTTCAGCAAATGCTCTGCTCTCTCCAGAGATTGGTCCAGGCCTTTCTCTGCGTTGCTTAACCTGGGTGCCCCCCCCCCCAAAAAAAAAAAAAACGCCGTCTGGCCCTCCGAAAGCCAAACAAAAACAGCTGGCGCCAACAACGAAAAAGCGGCGCAAGGCCAAGGAACGCGGCTTGGATGATCCGGTCGAGAAGGCTTGCGACTAGCACAGTCCCAAGCAATACGTAGATGGTCATGAAGGTCTTGCCTCCATGCTCAATTGTCACATCGCCATATCCTTCAAAGCAACCATGGGCTGCTTTAGAGCGCAGTGCACGAAAAAGACAGAAACAGGAACCGCACTAAAATGAGTCCCCTGCCGATCGTTGTCACGATCTGCACCACGACGTACAAGGAAGTCACCACCTCCCAGCCCTGCTGCCACGTCAGAAAAATGACTCCAACGGCGAAATAGGCGATGAGGCAGCACCTCAAGCGAAAAGGCAGGATAGCAAGCACTTCAGGCAGGGATAGATGTCGTGTTGCCTGGAATTGCCCAAGCAAGGACAAACAGGCGTTGAAGCATACCCAACCCACAGACCCGAACTTCAAAATGCACAAGCAATTCAATCAACAAGAAGCAAACAAGTCCGGAATGTGCCCCTTCGCGCAAATTTGGCGAGGAACTACCCGTCGAGCATAGCTCAAATGCAGCTGTGCGGCAGGCTAATTGTATTGGTATGCTTCATGGCAAACGGCGGCTCCTCCTCCTCCTCGTCATCCGAAGAGCAGCTATCGTCAGACATGCCGCGGCCTTGGCAAGGCAAAACCCACCTGCTGGATCCAAGTCTTCCTAGCCCAACTGTTGCAAAGGTCATGCGGCGCTCCCAATTGTGAGCGATCCCCTTTCACCTCAAGAAAACAACTAGCCCACCAGCACGCAACAAGCAGGGCACATCCCCGAAATGCACCAAACAAAAATCCAAGCATCGACCTTCCCCCCCAAAAAAGACACACACACACACACGCACAGAAAGCCGGGGGGCTGTACTTGGCCATCTACCATACCACCTCAAGGCGCCCTTCCGCCTTTTCGGCGCCCGCGCATATTCGAGCCACGGCGCGTCGAAAAGGTCTCAGGTGCCACGGGCCCAAGGAGTGCGGCCAAAACGGAACCCAACTGGTGGCCCAAAATTGAACAGGAGGGGCGCCACCGCGGGTTTTGGTCCATGTTTTTCCACTTGGGGCTACCGATTTTTGTTGAGCCACAGCCGACTCAAGCTTCCAGGGAACCGGAAGCTGAGAAGCCACAACAAGTGGAAGGAACCCACTGAGCACGGGGGAGCAGCGGAGCCGGTGGTTTTTTTAGGGCAGCGGAACTATAGAGAAACATTAAATGGGCCTATCAGCTTGCACTTGGACATTGAGGAAAAGAAATGAGAACACACAGCCTCTCAGCCTCTCAGTTCGCTTTGTCATTGCAATGCCCCGGGGCAATGGCAGAGGCACGCGCGTCGCGCCCTACCTGTTTTCAAGCGATCTCAATCAAGCATGTGGCCTTCAATCTCTTCGAATGACAACTTGCCATTGTGATCCTTGTCCTGAGGACGCCATGCGGACACAGCCAGCCCCTGCATAGACAGAAATCCCCAGACCAAATGCGAGTCAAAATCTCAGAACACCAAAAAATGAGGGGCCCCCCTTTCCAACTGCCTGCAAAAAGTGCCGCTGACTCGTTGACACAGAGAGAAAGTTCAAACAGAGGGGTTTCCCCCAAACATGTGTTGTTCTGTTGTTTCCTCTTGGTTTAGGTTGTGTAAACAGAGGGGTTTCCCCAAAAATATTGTTGTTTTCCTCTTGGTTTCTCTTTAAACCAGCGCAAAAAAAAGGTACCGACAAGACGCCAGCGTATCGAAGAGCGTGTCGATCTGCTGGATCGCCTCCAAGCTCACCTGGCTCACCCCGCTGGGTCCCACGCGGACGGACGGGGGCAAAATACCCAGGACTCAGGGGGGGGGGGGGGCCTCCAGGGAACCTCCAGGATGCGCATGTTTTCCAATCATGGACATGGAGAATTGAAGCCTCTAACTTCGAGATATTAATTTCGAAAGGCAGAAAGCTGTCTTCACTGTGATAATCTATGAGGGCAGCGTTCACCCAAACGTGCTCCCTCCCCCCCCCCTCCCCCCCGGCTCTCTCTCTCTCTCTCTATCTCTTTCTCGCTCTCTCTCTCTCTCTCTCTCTCTCCATCTCTTTCTCTCTCTCTCTCTCTCGCTTTCTCTTTCTCTTTCTCTTTCTCTTTCTCTTTCTCAATCTCTCTCTCTCTCTCTCTTTTCTCTCTCTCTCTCTCTCTCTCTCTCTCTCTCTTTCTCTCTCTCTCTTTCTCTCTTTCTCTCTCTCTTTCTCTCTATCCCAGCCTTGCCCTGCCGAATCAGCATGTACCGCAGGAACTCGGACCTGGAAACCTTGCCGTTCTGCTCCGAATCCATCATCTCGAACATCTGTGGAGTACATAGCTGCAGCTTCCGATATCTGAACTTGATGGCCTTCAGTCGCCGAAAGAGTTCACCCACCTCAGTCCGCACATAAGACCAACTGCTCTTCACCTGAGCACCCAACGAATCTGCAAGCAAGCAACCAGCGTCCCAAAGGCTGCCACGCCCACCATCATGCCAACGCTCCCCACCGTCCGGCCCAGCTTGCTCTTGGGGGCAACATCCCCAAAGCCCACCGTGGAGAAGGTGATCACCGCCTTTGAGCGCCACGTGATCAAACCCGCCGATGCATCCCTCCCTAGCCTGGGCAACACCTCGCTTTTTGTGGGCATCGATGGTCCAACGCACAACTGGGATACAACGCGAGCGTCTTGATGCGCTGGTCTTGCATTCAAGTGGTGGTAAGTGTGATGGCATCTCTGTGTGATGCATGGTTTGCACGTTTGATAGTGTGCAATTTCGGGAAAGCGATGGTGGCCCCAAGCTGCATTGGACAAAAACAGAAGCAAACAACAAGGCCGCACCCTGCAAATACAAACCCAACCCAACACCCCAATGACCCCCCTCTTTGCCAGTGACACCAAGGAATCTCTGAAGCCCCCGGCTGAAGCTGTTGATCTTGTCGTTAAGTTCAAGCTGAAGAGCTCTAGGTTTCATTCAGCCCCAGCTTCCTTGAAGCCTTGCTCAGCCCCCAGGTACCAAATACCACAGGCCCTACAAACGGAGACCTGGCGTGCGTGGCAAAGACTTCAGTGAGCGCATGAGCTCATTGAAACCCAGTGATTATGGAAGGACCGTAAACCTTGGGCAAGGAGGTGCTTAGCAACAGGTGGCTTGCGCCTAGGTGCAGAGACTCCGTCGGGATCCTGACAGTATACACCTGAACATTGCCTTGTAAATAGTGGTTTCCCTTGATTTTGGTGGAAAACGCCATTTTGGTGGAAAAAGACATGTCATGCCATGTCTCAAATGGGCAAGGTGTATTTTTTAAGGAGCCCTGAGAGATTTGCTCTGCTACGGCGGAAGGGGTGTCATCCGCGCACGTGAAACGCGGTCATCTGCGATTGAAAACGGGACATGTTTCATTCCGCTGACGTGTTTTCCCGTCACCCGGCTACGGCAACCTTGGCACTGCCCCTTGCACCGGGCGTTGCACTAAGAAAACAAACTGTTGACTAAACAGGCGTTTGTTCCACCAGCTCTCTGCCTCCACAATTCTCAGCTAAGGGTCCATGTAGAAAGCGCCATGTATGTCTGTCTGGTAGCCGCCAGTCTTTGCGCAGTCAGGACCCTCAATACAGCCTGGGACGAAGTCGCTTTCGTATGAGCAGGTGCAGCTCTCCTGAAGCGCAACCGACCCACAAAAAGGCGGGACTGCGAATGTGTTTTTCTTTCAAAAGAGCAATCCAAGCATCTTTGAGGCCTTCCACTCTGCAGCCATGATGCGTAGTACGCGAAGAATGCCACCCACAAAGCTAGAATCGCTAGAAAAGTGCTGCTTGCCACCAGTAGCGGGTACCGCTCGATGTGAGACCTAACCATAACTCCGCCTTCACCTGCCTTGTCACACAAGCTCTCGCCAACACAAGCTTCAATTAGTGGGTGAGCATTATCTTGAAGCCAGATAACTCGTTCACTTCGCTTTCTTTGCCACTCAGGCCAGCTTGCACCAGCGCGAGGGTGTGGTCAATGCCGATCTGGGTGCGTTCCAGCCTGTGCAAAGGAAAGGGTGTCCCAGCCCTTGGCGCTTGCCACGCAATGAAAAAGCAACGAGTCAATGCCGGGCAGCAAGGTGTGGAAGAGGTCAGTGGCCAAATTGACAAAGAGCAAAGTGCCGAAAAGCACGTAGAGCGCCATAAACGTTTGTGTGTGGTGCGTGACCTTCACGGCATCACCATATCCTGAGCCGGCATTTTGCTGCCTCGCCTTCTGGTCACTGCTTGACCTCAGGCTCGGGCCGATGGTCGTGACGATCTGCGCCACCATGTACAGGGCCGTTTCCGGCTGACAGCCCTCCACCAGGGAGAACACCATCAGCCCCACCCCCATGTAAGCCAGGAGGAAAAGCCTGAGACAAAGGCCTCTTTTTTCCCACAAGCAAATACGGCAACACCTGGAACCAAATTGGGGGGGAGGTCAGTGCGGAAAAAAAAAGGCAAGACGCAGTGCTGATCAGGTGGCAAGTTCGTCAGCCTCGGGTGCGTCACGAAGAAGGGGGTGCGAGGGGGAGGCTTGCCCAGGAGGGGCGAAATGTTGTTCTTCTCGTTCCACCCGAGTCCCATCATGGCGTCGAAGCGCTGGAGTTCTCAGGAAAGCTCCCAGTGGATCCCATGGCCTGTTCTCACGCCATGTGTGATCAAGCCCATGCGGTCTTTGCCATGACTGATCCTCTCATTGACCCATGCTGTCATGCCCAGGAATGAATATGAGCCAGTTACAGCGGCAGAGCCCTCGCTCACGAACACGGCTCTAAGAAGCTGTGAGCGGCCCCTGCAGCCAAGGCCAGAACGAAGTAGACGGCCATTTCAAGCGTCCTGTCAGCGGTTTGCCATCAAGTCATCAGGGCTCCGGCAAACCAATGGGCAAACAGGAATGCCTGTCAGGCCGTGGCTGTCAGGAAACCTCGGCCAAACGGGCTCTCAAGCAGCCAACAGATTTGGAGGGCACTTGCCACACAAGATGGTAGCGCACAATGCAACATGGAAACTCAGGTGTGTGTCTCCTTCAAAGCCACGTCCCCCATCTCAGCTGCCGGCTGCGGCCAGTCCGTGACTCGGACCCTACGTGCCAAGATCAGATGACTTACATCCTTGAGCCGGGAAGCCCGAGGCGTGTCCGAAAGCCACGGGAAGGCAAGCTGCAGCGACTGAACACTGCGGGGAAAAAGGGGATGCGCTTGCGAATCGGCATGAAGATCGTGCCGCGCGTAGCCAGGGCTTGGCAAAATGAGTTGAAGCCTAAGGACGCTTAAGCCTCGGGACAGAAACCGGCAGTTGAATTAGGAGAGCGAGGCACGAGCCCGATTCCCGTGTATGGCCATGCTGACGTGGCGCAGGACCTTCCGCCCACCGACCCTAGATAATCGGCTTCAGGGTGACTGACGCGGCTTCCCATCTGGGTGGAACTCCCTGTCCAGGGCAGCAGCGGTTCGACTGATCTGATCCGGCCAGTCGATCGCTGGAACCTGCTCGAGGAGCATTGCGCGCTGGGCCTCCTGACCGGCGGCCCCCAGCGACTCTGCGAAGGCGCTCAGACGGCGCAAAGCCTCGGCCGCCACGTCCTCTATGGGCGCGGTGGTGTCCAGCGCGAAGAAGGTCCTCAAGGCGGCCTCCGCCCCCAGAATCTCAGTTTCTGCTGCCTCCCGCTCCAGATAGGCATCCACCCTGCGAGCATCGTCCATGTCGCCGAGGCCAAGCCTTGCATCCCCCTCTCGCTGCTCCCGCGATTTTAGTCGAGCCAACATGACTTCCTTTGGACAGTCCAGCTTGATGAGCGCCATGCACTTGACACCCACTGCTATTTGAAAGGCTGGCAGGTCTCCGGGACGAAGTCCATTGACAATGATTCCTCCGATGCCCGCCGTCGAGCTCAGGCCATTCGCAATGACCCCAGTCACCACAGCAACCAGCCGGGCGAAGGCAACTTTACGGCGGCGCCGATCTGCGAGCTGCTTGGCGATGTTTCTCAAAAGTGGGGAGCCCTGATGCTCCGTCACCAGTCTGGCCAAATCGCCACAAGAGATGTGGCAAAACCCAGGTAGCCGCGCCCTTGGCTGTTCTGCACGGGCTTTTTGTGCGATGCGGTCATTTGATGCAGCTCAGAGGCTGCAGGCGGTCCCCGAGGGAAGTCTTGCCGCTTGCCGGACCTCCGAACAACACCTCGGCGCCGTCCAAGCAACACGACTCTGCCCGCACAGTTTGGCTCCTTTACTTCATCTGCACCGAAAGAATTAGGTGCGTCTTTGCTTGAGGGTACCTGTTTTTCTTGACTTTGAAGGGAAACACGAAGAAAACCACCATTTTGAGAGTCCCCTCAGAAAAGACGCACCCAGTCGAGAGCGCGCTGCCAAGGTGCGCATGCCAGCGCAGGGCGGTCTTGACGTCGAGGCGACCGGGACCGAGACCGCGCCATGCCGTCCACCATGGCACGAGGCTCTTAAGCAAAATGCCAAGTGGCTTAACGTGGGTCACGTGCTTCACGCTTGGTTCTTACATCCCCCAAACCAAAGCAAGTCACAACATGCAATCTCAAAATGACGACTTGTACCCAGGCAGCTGGGTCTTAAAGCACATCCAGCTCCGGAACAGGCACATGATGCGAGCGTCGCTGCTACCGCGCCTAATGCAAACCTGTTCGGCAAGCATTGCTGCCAGCCCTCCCTCACTGCAGCGCGCTTTTTGTTCGCAAGAGCTGATGGAATGCTGGAGGTCGTTGCCATCAAATTTGTCCCAAATGTCCCGGGACCCTTTGCCGGTCTCACCCGATAGCCGCAAAGAGCATCGCTTGCCTGCTTATGCACATGACAGTGCCCCAATGCAGGCATGATGCCCCACCCAAAGAAGAGAACTGGCAGCACTTAGGTGCTGCTTGGCATCTCGGTGCTGCCGGGAATCGCGCCTTCACGTACCAAAAGACGGCTCGTTTGGAAGAGAGGGCGCCTCAGGCATCAAACTGACAAAACCGGAACTAAATGACTCCCAGGAAACACAGCTTGGCACGAGCTCGGTTCTCAAAATGGGTCTCGACTCCCATTCTGCAACCGGCAGCGCGATTCTTTAATCCCAGGTGAAGTGAGCTGATCTAAATACATAGTGAGCCCCCGTTACTATTTATTGGGGCGCAGATGTGAGACATCCAGCGCCAGAACAAGGAAACCACCGGCATGGTGGTCCTTGAACCCAGACACACCTCACAAACCCACCTGTCCGCCTGAGTGCCGGCACCGCATCAACAGCCTCCTCGGGTATCTGTGCCTTCTGCCTGAGCCAAGGCATCTGAGTCACTTGCTCAAAACCCGGTACACAGATGGTCGACCCAGAACCATGCTTCAAGAACTGAGAAGGCGGAGATCCTCAGCTATTTATGGCTGGGATCGTCCCTTACTAACCTTCACTTACCCTGGTTTTGGTGCCTCATCTGACACACGTGCTACGCACGGACAATGGGCCAGCGGCAAATGCTGGATCTGCAGAAGCTGAAGTTCTTGAATTTGACACGCCTGCCACGCAGCCGGCAATGGCCAACGCTTCATGCTTGCCTTTGGGCACAAGAGCAGTTGAAATATACACTGCACTAGCTGAGAAAAATGTGTGGCTTGCAGAATTGCAAGCTTGCTGACTCCCTGACGCCCTGACGGGACGACTGGCAACTAAGACAATTGGTGGACTGAGCCAAGCGACATCGAGGGTTCCGGGTCCAAATCAACAGTTGAAGTTCTGAAGCTCCATGTTCACGAGTGCGACCCCATCAGCTCCACTTTGCCGTACCTATCGCTGCTCAGGCCACATGCTGCATGCTCTCTGCCACACCAAAGCTGCATGCTCTGTGTCACACCAAAGCCCGGGGGCCATCCAATGTCTTTCCCGCGAGCTCTTCCGATAAATGTGTTGGCCTTATCCCGCAGCAACAGCAAGATGCACAAAAGGACAGGCAAAGTAAGATGCTCGAGACACCTGCGCGGCAAGATGTGCAACAGTATATGCACAGTAGGGCGCGAGAGCAAAAGACAAGAGCACATGTCCAGAGCACATGCAGAGAAAGACGCGCGAGAGCACGTGAAGAGCAAGAAACGCGAGAGCACGTGGCGAGCAAGAAGCACGAAAGCACGCGCAGAGCAATTTGCAAAAAAAGGAAAGCACGAGAACCTGAGCAGAAAGTTGCACATACAGGGAGATGGCTGCACAGAGAAGCACGCACAACGCCGAGAGTTCGCCTGACAGTTCGCTCCCTTGTGAAATGCCACCATGGTTCCACTATTCGGGTATGGGTCAAAATTAAATTTGCAGGAGGGGACCGCAGGCTTTAGTCCTTGGTTCCATTTACCAGCGTTCCTTTTTGGGTACCTATTTTTGACCCATCCACAGCCACGTCTCGAACGCCGGCCTGCTGCTGAAGCTGCTGCAGGTGCGCCTGCTGGATCTGCTGAACGTGTTGCTCGAACTGCAGCTGCTGCCTGACACTCGGTCCCCGGCCCCCGGGCCTCGGGGGCCTTCCTGCTGCCATGGGAAGTCATGGAGTGACGCCCCATTTCCCGTTGCTTGAATTGAAAATACAGTTTCTCACGTCACCGATAGAGGAAGTTGGAAGAAAAACTGAACCATCAGGCCCTGCGATAGCTGTGTCCCCTTGCTTTTGCACGCATGAATCCAGGCATATCTTAAGGCATCTCACCCCCACCCCCTCCCACACATTGAAACGAATAACATGGCCCACATCGCCTTGAGCAAAAAAGCTGAGGCATCAGCTGTTTCAGCTCCTGCTGCTGGCCAGACATGTCTTGCCGCAGGTTGTGGATGATGACCTAGCGCGGTCTTGCGGTGTTCCCATGTCTTGCACTCCAGCCAAGACAACGCCCGCTCCAGGGCAGCGGCGTCTTTCCGGGTCACCTCGTCCTTCATGGAACTGACCGAGTCCTGCGATCTCACACCTGACGTTCAATTCCCTTCGAGGAGAGTACGGAAACACCCTCCGACCCGCGTGTCCCCCAAAGCCCCTTTTCTGGGAGAGACTATATACTGGGTGCTTGTTGCCCTGTGGGATTGCCCCTCATGTTGCGACTTTGGAAAAATATCAAGGGAGCTTTGCCTCGCCTTTTTTTGGCAAGCCACTTTCTTCAAAGCAAACATGTAACCAGCAATCATTGAACAGATGTCTTCCCAATACTCTTGCGTGTCTAGAGGAAACACAGAAGCAGGCGGGCTCAAAGGCAACCAGAATTGCCGCACAGGGAACGTAGGGCACCCTTTGCCAAGTGTCCACCACATGGAATCAGCTCGCCCTGGTTAAAAAAAGAAGAAGGCAAAACAGGAGGTGTTTGTTTGGGGGGCGGGGGGCACGTCGCATTGCCACATTCTTTGGGCCTCGTCGGTCGGTCGCCGGGGATCACAAGAGTTGGAGCCTGCGCCCTCCGATCCCCCCCCCCCACTCCTCCAGCTGCGCACCTCTGCGCACCGCTCGAAGGAGTAGCTCCCGCCTCAGACGTATGGCTGTGAGTCAAAACCCTGTACCCCTGATAAACATCAAAATAGGCCAAAATGGAGGCATAGTCTTTAAAAGTTTACGACCCATGGCCATGTCGCCGCAAAACAAAAACAAAACAAAAAAGTGAAACGCCTCATTCCTTTTTCCCACGCCCCAAGCACGCAGGTCGTGGTTAGCCAGCCAAAGGCGGGAAGAAACGTCATGCGAAACCAAGGTGCCCCCCCACGTGGGCAAACCCGCGCCAGGAAGAGGAGGACACCAAGGCCCCCGGCTGCCGCAGGCACGCCTGCTGCACCTGAGCCGGGTTCGGCGGGATTCGATCATGGCTCCGTTTCTTTTTCACACGTTCAGCACAAGCCCAATGAGCCCAAGCAGCCCAAAATCCCTTAGTTCCGTGGCCTTTCCGCCAAGCGCCAAATCGGCTTCGAAGCCGCCTCCGCGAGCTGCGCGCTCAGGGCGTGCACGGAGTCCGCCTGAGCAAACCCACGAGCCAGGCTGGCCGCGCGGCTAAGGCAGCGAATCAAGGGCGGAGGTGTCACTCAATGAGCAATGCCCGGATCGTCCCTGAAAGAGAAAAAACGGGCAGTGCTGAGTGAATGCCAGGCCCCAAATAATTACACATGAAATCAATGGCTTTGTCCAAAAGTCATTCACATGACCACTGGACCGTTCTCAAAGACTCTCCAAAACAAAGAGCTCCGGGCGGCTGTGCTTTCGCCTGAGGCGGTTGTGAGTTGCTGGGCCACGGCCCAAAACCCACATTCGAGGCAGAGATGTCAGCCGGCCCTTCTTTTCCGTCGCCAACTGGCAGCACGCGCTGGGCAGTCTCTGATGAGCCACAGTCATGTTCACAGCCCGCTGAGACTTGGGTGAGCAAGCCCCATGTCCAGTGGTTTGATGAGGGTGCCTGATTCGACATCCTCCACAAAAAAAGGCTGTGAATACTGACCGCTGCTCAAACCTAATCTTTGGCCCAAACGAATTCGCAGACCAGCTGGCCATTGGGCAGAGACGCCCTCAGGCCCTGCAGCGAGCCTGAGCCGTGCGGAAAAACGAGCTGTAGACGGGGTAAGCTCTAAGCCAAGCTGATGATTTCCCGTTTGTTGGTTGGTTGGTTGGTTGGTTGGTTGGTTGGTTGGTTGATTGGTTGGTTGGTTGGTTGGTTGGTTGGTTGGTTGGTTGGTTGGTTGGTTGGTTGGTTGGGTGGGTGGGTGGGTGGGTGGGTGGGTGGGTGGGTGGCTGGCTCAGCATTATCGACCTGACTTGGACCTAGGCCTGATTTGGTGGCAGTTGAGAGTTGCTGGGGTTGGACTGCCCCGAAGGTTGCGAAGGAAGGCCCCCGGGCAGCACTCGCTCCAATGACCTCTGGGGCCGCTGCCTGCAGCTTTTGCCGGAGCTGGAGATTTTCCACTGCGATCACCTTGCGCCCACAACTAGAGAAAAATAAAAATACAACATGCCACAAAACCCCAGAGGCAAGATGCGAAGCAACACACAAGAACACACTCATCAAGGTCATCACGCTCAAAGCATCTTGAGATAGCTTAACATTGACTCACAATGCCCAGCCAAAGGTAAACTCAAAGCTACCAGGTCAAGCCGAGGCCTCTTGCACCACCTTCAGCTGCGACGCGCTCTCGTTGACATTGAAGCTACCTAGCCGAGCCGCAACATGCATCCCCACAACAAATCCGCGAACCACGCAAGAACGTACAAATGAATTCATGACTTTCCTACTTGCAATCGCAAGCCTTCAAAATGGGCAAAGCAATTTCTTGAGGGACCCTATAGAAGCTTAAAACACATCTCGCTCTTTCCACAGCTCACCAGCCCCCCCCCCGGCCCTGGCCTCGGAAAAGGTCGTTGAGGTCTGCACAAAGTGCAGTCAGCCCACAGAAGGAGCCCGACATAATGGTGAAGACCAATTGCAAACCTGGGATTGGTGACTGGGGAATGAGGGAATGAACCCAGCGGTCCCCTTAAAGGAAACCACAAGGGATGGTGTATAGGCTGTATAGGGTCCCCTGGTTGG